GTTTATATATGTCCCATACATGATGTGTTGTACCGAGTGAATTGACTGGAAGGGAACGTAATGTTGTGCATATAACTACTGTTCCCTGAAGGAAAGGAACGAGGTACAACACATGGTGGCCCCGCTGCACAGCTGGGCTCGGTGAAGAGCAGTTACCGAACTGAGGAGTGACGGTGATGCGACAATATTTATATGTGCAGGCGGAGCCTGACATCTGTCGTCATCACGTCACCTGCCTAAAGGCGTGATTAGAGGTAGCTTCAGCCAGGACACGCAGGACATGGTTTCCCATACATGATGTGTTGTACCTCGTTCCTTTCCTTCAGGGAACAGTAGTTATATGCATAACATTAAGTTTTTGTAAGAAATACTGGGAAAAAAGCAAAGCCTAGTTTTAGCCGTACTTCAGATAATGATTCAGGTGAACAAACAAACTAGAAAAACAATATTTTTAGTCACAAAAACTACTAATGAAAAACAATGAAAGTCATGACAGGCTTTTCAAAAGTTAAAAAGCGTGTCGTAGCTTGGTGTACACTGGGATAACATTTCACACTGAGTGAGATATCCAGACATCCTCGCATGAGAGATACAGACTGATGAAGAGATTGTGAAGGAAAACAAGGCCGACAAAAGGAAAGGATAAAGAGTCAAGGGGTATTTTTGTAGCTGAGCAACACACCGAGACAGAATAGGAGCTCTAAAGGGAAAATTGGAGGGTGCAAACATTGATTAGGCTGAAAGCTGTCAGAAATGGTCGAACAGAAAGTCGTACTGCAGGGGTGTTATTTGAGGATGAAAGCCTGCAGATGGAAATCAGGTCCAAAGCAAAGAGAAAGGCCACGAGATGTGACAGCACACTAAACGCCAAAATTAGATACTTAAGAGGTTACAAGAGGATTCATTTCTTTTGCTTTGCCTTTTAGATGTCGAATAAAGTAACTCCTCTACGTGTCACATTGGCATTCGGTGCATGCATTGTTAAATCAGTACATTCACCATCGTTTCTGGGGTCATTTGATAAGGTTAAAGGTCAGCGCACCTCTCAGTTGGACCCCCCCCGTAGGTGTGAGAACTTGGCCACCATGAAATATAAGTGTTTTGTCTCGTATTGATGATGCCTTTGATGAATGATGGCAGGAATGTGACTAAAATAAAAAACGAGGTCAAACTTTGCAACCCAGCTCGTTCAATCACCAGCGTTTAGAAAAGGGTTGGTCAAATTTAGATTTCAACAATAAAGAAAAATGTATGCCACTGGAACCAAAATAAACACTAAGATAATGATAAAGCTTTTATTTGTCATTAAATGTGTTTTAAATCGATTTTATCTGAAGACTGATCTTAACAATATAGCTATAATTCTGTAATATTGTCCTCCAGGAGCAGCATTTATTTTATAGTTATTGCTTTTTTGTGTGTGAAATCTTAGTTTGAAGATGCTGAAACTGAATTGTTGACATCAAAAGAAGAACACGAGCTAAAAGTAGTGAAACGCCAGCTAAAATATCAGCAAAATGCTGGCTAAAAGTACTAAAATGTTATCTAGATGCTAAAAGTAGCGAAATCCTTGTAATTAGCAGCAAAATAATACCTGAAAGTACAAAAGGACAAACGTATTAAAAGGGCAATTGGAAGATGGAATTAGCAAAATGGCAGCTAAAAGCAGCAAAAGGCTGAATAAATGCTTAAAGAAGCAAAAGATAAAGTGCAAGAATGCTGTAGAAAATGTTCATGTAGAAAAATATTGTAAATTAAAAGAAAAGGCTTCAAAATGTATAAAAGTTACAAAAACCAAATGTCATAGCCGAATAAGCTAAATGTTTTGGATTTAAATGGCTGAAATAGCAGAAGTATGGAAGCTTATGGAAAAAATAAAATTAAAATGGGAACAGTGAATGATGGGTCAAAGTTCATTATTAATATTGTGCCCTATGAATACCGATTTTGTAAAAAAAAAAATCCTACAGTTATGTAATTTTGGCCGATGTCAGTAAACAAATAAACACAAATGCCCATTCAGTAACTTCTTCAAACTGCATACTGAATATGACCATTGTTTTTGTATTCCGGTAAATTCATTTACAGTTTCCCAATAAGCAACATGATGGGAAAAAAATGCAACATTCTCACTTCTGTTAACGTGGCACTGACCTTTTTCACCACACTGTCCAGCGTTTCCGGGCGGCTGATGTCGAAGCAGATGAGCACAGCGTCGGAGTCGGGGTACGCTAACGGTCGCACGTTGTCATAGTAGGCTGAACCTGGAAGGTGAGAAACGCAGAGACTTTAACAGATGGACTGTGAGTACTTTCATGGGTTTGAAGAGTTACCGTTTTCACTCAGAGTGAAAATCTTCTGAAGTAGCAGCTGTGATCAAATATAATTTACCATACACCCCCCCCCACCCCCTTGCAGATGACTGAATATGATTTATTGCTTTTGAAAACAGCAGAGGGACTTCGTCTACAACCCCTGATCTGCAGCTGACCATACTGAATAAACCAAAAGATGGACATGTGACAGTGATATAATGAGTGGCTCACAAAGCGTCACCTGGTATTTCAATGTGGCACTTTTTTTTTTTTTTTTGGTATTGTTGGGGGCCCAGACTGAATCGAGCATTGTGACCAGGGCAAAGAGACACATTCCTGTCCAGAGAGGAAAACATTCCCTTTGCATTTTTTCCCCCTTATTGTCTGCACTAAGTGCTTTTGTCACCAGCAACACAGAGCTTTGGCAACGTAACAAAAATGTGTTCAACAATGGATTCCCATGAATGCAACAGAACTCAATTAACAAGAACACTTTCAGGCTATTTGCAAAATAAAAAAGGGAGAAAAATACAAGAAATTATCATCCTAAGTAGAAGACAAAAGAGCAATAATGTGTGGGTCTGGCATGAAAGAAAGCTGTAATATGTATTCCTTCAATTAAGTGCTTATTAAACCTATTAAATATTTGTCAGGATTGTTAAACAAGTACAGATGCAGTGTTGACAAAAAACAACAATGCACATTTTCAGTAAATTGAAATTCACTATTTAACTTAACATGCGTGTTTTTAAACTATGAGAGGAAACCAGTTTTTCTCCTACTTTCAGTTCAGTCTACTTCCTGCTTTTGATTAATTCTTCAGTCAGCACACCTGCATATTTATTCATTACCTTCCTCAGTAGATATAATTTTAATTCATTTTATTTGTTTTTACTATCAGTGCTTTCCTGCCATTTTTTCTGCCTTTAAGGCCCTGTCTTCATGGGATTTTGTTAAAGGTTTTAATACAAACATTTTTTTTCCTGTTTAATTTTATCACATCCATACAAACAAGATAGAAGTCAACGACAACCGCCGCTGACGTCCCCAGTCGCCATTCAGTAGTGACCAACTGTCAGCAGTTTTGTTGGAATCATCATGGGCCATCATTACTTAAATAATCTCATAAGGTGAGCAGGCAGATGGACTAACGGAYGGACAGGGGGCTAAAGTGGGTCTTGTCAAACTACTACACAAACGTGTTGAGCAGGTCTCCTTTGTGAAGCACACAAAATTTGGTTTAGATCAGATCATGCTTGTGTGATTTAGAGCCAACCGTTTGTCAACGGCTTTATGCCTAATTAGGCCTCGCCCTGCAAAATGTGGACTGCATRCCAGTAGTGGGGTGTATTAGGATCGACCATAGTGAATCGGGTGCAGATTGGTTGAAATATGAGGACTTTAGAGCCAAACGTATGTCAGCGGYGTGATGTCTAAGTCTGCCGCACCGCCATGACCACGCCTTTCACCAAAAGCTCTTTGTACTTGAAAGCAAATGAGATCAACGTATGATTTGTGTTGCTGATTAGGTCAAGAGGGTCAAAGACAGYGTTGCCAGATGGGAAATGTTGAATTATCGTATCAGCAGCTCAAAATTATCGTATTTTGAGGAAAATTATCGTTCACACCCAAGCTACATTGTAGAGAGGCTCAAATTTACATCCTGTTCAGCTCACAAGTGCTCTGTATTGAACAAACTGCACATTTCTTTGTTTATAATAAAGTTAAAAAGCACTGTATCTTTATTTTGTATTTATGTATGTGACTGTTGAGTGGCCTTTTTTAACAAAAGCTTTATTGTAAACAAGAACAAAACAGGGAGCCTGGTGAAATGATGCATATAAAAGGAAATATTAGATAAAATGACTATAATAAAATG